TCATTTAGAATGTTCGTAACATAATGCTCCTTGGCATGCTTATTTCTGATTTAGAAAAAGGAATCCAGCCTAAAAATATTTGATTCGATATCTGAGAAAGTATGCTAGCGTCACAATATATGTAAACATATACAGGCAGTATCATGTTACTGCTACCAGCGGAAATTGCGCAAAGCTTCCCGGATAAGAGGCATCCTTAAATTACGTAAAAGTATTTTTTCTGATTTTCAACCCCTCTCTTATTTACGTACTATGCAATTGTTTTCCTTTTTTTATATATTTTTTTTTTATGTAGTTAAATTTTTTGTAAAATTCTTTCTTTTCTTCGCATAATACAATTGAGAATAATGATGCTGGTGATGCGAATTTCAATGTAAAGCTACAACTTCTGAATTGATTGATATATCGTATTTGCATGTTAGAAAATTATATAATTATTTTACTTTAATTGCAATAACAGTGAGGTAGAAAGGCATGTGTGCATTCACTTCTATTATCCCTCGATCTTCATCAACTGAAAAATATGACCAATGCCGATTTCGCAACGAGCATTTAAATGTGTTTGAGTTAACGTGAGTTAATCGATTGATGAAGTTGGCGAAAAATGTGCGAGCAAATGTATTGGTCGCTAATAAATGGCGGATGAGTACGGGCTCTTGAAATAATTGCTTTTCTGCCGATCTAAAAATTATCGACTCCCAGTGCCGAACGTAAAACAATAATTATCGGTTTAATAGCGAGCGACTAGATGTATAAAGTATAATCAACCGTGACCCCCGTATCCTCGGTAAGAGAGAAAAAAGGTGAAAAAGAGCGAAACAAAGGGCAGCCCTCGCGTCCCTAAAATGCTGTGCGGTCGGGACGACGACGACGACACACATCGAAGAGAGCATCTATAGCCTCCGTTCGATGGCAGAGTGCAGAAGGCGCCGGAGGTTCAACGAACCCGAGATGACGTGATATCGCCGCACGCTGGGAATTTATTATACGCTACTCTCTTTCTTTCTCTTTTCTTTCCTCCTCCTTTTACCGCCGCTTTCTCCAGTGCATCGTACTTGCAAATAATCGTGAGCGGGAAGCGGCAAGCTTACTTACTGGAGCCGACCTTCCCGTGTATTTTTTCCTGGTTGTATTTCATGGCTTGTGTGCCGCACTCGTGTTTTTAGCAGCGCGGGCCGATGAGCAATGGAAATGTAGGCTTTTTATTATCGAGTCAATGGCAGCGAGTGATTGACAGTAAAAGAGTATAAGATTCTTAAGATCTGCGTTTGCTTCGGATCAAATATACATTTCTTTTTTTCCTTTTTCTTCTTCTTTCAGTCTTTATTTTATTTTTTTTTTTTTTTTTTTATTTTATTTTATTTTTTATTTTTTTTTTTAATCATTTTTATCGCTTTTATTTTTATTATTTTGCTTTATTTATTTGTTTAATTATTTATTTATTTTTTGTCATTGTCGATTTTGCTTTACCGATCTTCGCTCAATGTCTCTCTATATACAACATTTATTAGAGCATAGATTATCATAAACTTTACGAAGCTAATAAGCTAGTCCTTTATAATTTTCGAGTCTGAAATTTACTTTTCAGTTTGCATTGTGCAGCTTCAGTACGATGGTTTGTAATTCAGTGCTTAGTTTCCACTTCGTGTTAAAAAAATTTTATTGCACGATATACAATCGGCCATACAATTTCATATAAATTATAGCACTAATGCAGAAAGAATTAATAACGTTTAAAATTTTATCGAACAAATGCCTTTAGGATTAATAATTAATTTCACCGTCTAATGTAATATACATTTTATTTATTGATAATACAATTTTTCATGAACTACATTTTACGGTTCGTTACTTTGTACACCTATAAAATCTAATTTGGTAAGATAAACTGTTATTAATGCAGCGTCTATCATATTTATCGCGAACATCGCTAATTATATATTTATAAATTATTCGAATGAATGTGTTTTAAAAAATATTATGCGAAATTAAAAGATATCTAAAAGACATTGATACATTGTATTAATAGTAAATTCAAGAATTACAGTGCTAATTAAATCATAAATGAATTAAAAATCAAACAAAGATATATCATTTTTAATATATTTTATATGAGATCTGGCAGGATGCGATATTTATAAATAATAATAATAAATGTTTTTCACCAAGTGAACTATAAATAATAAAATATTTGAAAGAAACTATGTTTGTAAATTATACATTATGACTTACAAAAATTATTGAAACTCATTCTTTTTTTATTATAATATTTTATAACTAATTTGAATTGGTCCCATTTTTATAAAATATTAAACAGATACTTCGAAAATTAATAATTTAGATGCTTTACTGTTCGATAGGCGCCCTTTATAACTTTCCTATCATTAAAATTTTTTCAATCATTATTTATATATCATATCGACCATTTTAAAAATATTATATTATAAATGTTATATAAGCATTTATATGATTTGAATCTTATTTATGTAAATTCATGTATTACTAAATTTTATTGTAAAAGTCGGTCAAATAAATCTTGAAATATATTGAAATATTTTGTATCATATATGTATTTTACATTACGTATATATATATATATATATATATATATATATATAATAAGATATTGAACAAATAATTATATATAATATGTATTAATTGTTTTTCTATTTTGAATATGTGTATTACTGAAAGAATTTTAGAATAGAACATATTTAGAACAGAGCTTCAATAATATACTCAGTTAAGTTTTATAAAATTTTATTTAATTTATTTTTGCCTATCCATCAATTTATAAGGTTTAATAACGATATTTAAAAAATATTGAAGATAAAAACGATGATAATTGTTTTAATTAAGTAAAGTAGTATTCGCTTGTTATTCAATTGAAAATATAAGATACAACTGAATTTAAATGAATAGAAATTTTAATACATAATTACTTATTATATAGCGACATATTTTTTTTAATGATTTATTATATTTTATTCACATAGATTTCATTTCAATTACTCAAACAACGTAAATTTTTGTTAAATATTAGATACTTTATTTAGAGGCATTGTTATTCCAAAAAACACTTTCTTCTCAATTTTTTTTTTTTTTTTTTTTTTGAAACAAAGAAGACTGTGCCAATCTTAATTCTGTTCTTGATTATGGGAGAACAAATTGAGTGCACGGATAAAAAGAAGTATGGAAAGCTTGAGGGAAAAAAGAAAAGCCATCCTCAGTAGGCTTCTGGTTGGCGATCAAGGGAATTTCTCAATTTCCCGATTCTTTGAAACCCAGGTTGACGCACGATTCAAAAGATTCACTTGCCTTTTTCCCTCGCTGCCTCCCCACTCACTCACTCACACACTCACTCACACACTCTCCCTCTCTCTCTCTCTCTCTCTCTCTCTCTCTCTATTTCTTCTCTCTCTCTCTCGCTCTTTCTCGCCGACTTTTTGCGCATCCCTTCCATGGCAACCAGCGTCGTTCGTTAGAAAGTTAAGAGCGCGGCGGCCACTTGCCAAAGACGGCGCGTATGTCAGGGGATGCGCGCAGTGCAGCGCCGATCGCGAGATTGTTCCACTAAACGACCGGTCGAACCTCTTTCCGCGACCTTGGGCGGACGTTTTCACGTTGCGAGGGGGGAAATTCTTGTTCCTCGCTTTCCATCGTCCGTCATTTTGACGGGCGCTTTCCGATTGCGAGCGCGCACTTCACGTTTTTTATATCCCCCTTATGCTGTGGCGGTAACACACGAGCTCATCTGCTCGCGCGTGCGCAGATTATGTCAAGGCGCCTTCTTTTCCCTTGGCTGGATTTGTCTTGCTGAGTTATATTAGAAAACCCGTTCGGCGACCTCTCGAGAGCGAACCTAGCAGTTGTCGGCTCGTTTCGCCCTGACGCTAACTGGGCGCCGTTTTACTTCCTTCCGAAATTCATTTTATTGCCTTCGCAAGCCTTCTATGGACGCCCGGCATCGTAAACTGAATTGACCGCGCGAGCGCGTTTATTGACTTGGCCTTTTTCTCATCTGCTGGTTTAAACTTTTATTGAGAAGCGAGCCCGATTCTTAGACCCATCGACGAATCGTTATTACCTCAAGTCTGGAATCATTAATATTCATAGAGCCGTGGCACATTATTCATTACACTTTTAATAAATAGTATGCATACAAATTAAGTACTTATTGCGGGAAGAATATACATTTATTATTAAATTTGCGCGTATTTAATAAAAATGTACTTTAGCATCTCGTATTGCACGAATGAACAAGTAGTCGAAATAAATTCCTTATATGTATACATTAATTTCGTAAAATTGCATTTAAGATATTGCTTAATTAATTCAACGCGGTAGTATTGAACGTAAGATATATATATATATATATATATATATATATATATATATATATATATATATATATATAAATATACCACTAACATTCGGTTATCATTAAATTTCTAATAATACTGTTTATCATGATAATCATGTTTAATAATTTATTTATTAAATTAAAAAATTAATTATTAAAAGACTGTAAGAATACTTTATAAAAGTAAGAATTGATTGCTCTATCGTTGGGACCAACTTTATCGTCAAAATAATATGCACTTTATCGAGTAATTATGTACTGTGATTTATAAATAAGATTGATAGTTTGAAAAAGTCACAAGAAGGTTGCCTTTTCTGCATAAGGAATGACGTTATAATGGAAAAAACCTACGCTGACAATATTTTAACAGAAGTGTAAGTTCCTAAATAGTATTTATAAATAGTATTCATTTTAATCAAAAGGTATATATTAGAGATGTATTATCCCCTACGACGCGTCAAATAATTATATTTGGTAGTTTATAATTTACTGAATCTTTAAGACTGAAATTTGAAGGCGTTGCAGTTGTATTTATTTTGCTTAGTCGTTGATTGTATCTAATATTGATGAGACCTAGTGCGGAAGGAAAGAAACACATGCTTTGTTTGTAGTAATGGACGAATAATTATTATTCCAGAGTGGAAAGTTCAGCGCTACAGTTAGTATGTCCGCTGGATTCTCGTCCGGTGCAATTAGTCTTCCGAAATCTCCAAGTCGTAAAGGACAAAAGATCACTTTTACGGGATGTCTCCGGTGTCGTCAAACCAGGCGAACTCTTGGCTGTCATGGGACCCTCAGGTATGTCATATCATGCTTTATTTACAATTTTAGCTCGCGATATTCGTTTTTCTATTCTTTTTGGTTCTTTATCTTTCTAAATCGCCGCAAGATTAGTTATCTAAATAATTAAAAAAATTTTGTTAAAGTTTTGCCTGCTTCCTAAAATATTTTACTTCAAGGGCGAATAGTTTCTTTAGCATAATTGATAAATTTAAAAAACTAAACGAATACAATGCCCTGAAATATTTTTAGTAATAACAAGTGTTGTCCTACTTTTAAATTGTCTTCTCCGAAAGGTTGCGGTAAATCTACGCTGTTGAATTGCCTGTCTGGCCGAATTGGCTTGGACAGTGGTGAGATTTGGTTAAACCGGGAAAGGCTTACTAAGAGATGGCGACGAAGGATTTGTTACGTTCAGCAGCAGGATGTTTTTTTTCCCGATCTCACACTTCGACAGACATTAGAGGTAAGATTTCTTTTTTGTTTCCCCTGCTACAATAAAATTACAACAAATAGAAATAAACATTATGAAATCGAAAATTTTTCACCGTTCGTAATATATGCGTTAAAAGTATTTCTAATTTCAAAGAATAATAATATAGTAAATATTATGTCAAAATACTCCATCCGAGTTTATTATAATCAATTAAATGGTATCACGTAGAGCCATGCTGTCATGTATAATGTAATAGGACTATTACATAAATAAATCTTAATGGAAATGTTGAGAATACATCGTTTTTTCTTACATTATATTTTATACATAATTGTAATATAAATAACCATATGAGAAGTTTCATGTAGATTTCCCCTTAATCTTAAATTCTGTTTAGTTAATATTTGTTTTACCGACTAGTCTTACATTTATAAACAAGTGCATAAACAGCTTTTATGGGGTAGTTATATTTATTTATAATATATATATATATATAATTTTTTTATTTCTTGTTCGCATAATAGAGTCAAAACGTATATTGTTAAACGTTCTAGTTAAAAAAAAATGTTAATAAGACAATTAACTTTGAAACATGGGGCTGCTGCGACAATCGGAATTTGCAAATGTAATTTTTTATAAAAACAGTTAAATATTTTCCAATGTATTATCAATATATTAGTTAATATTAAGCTCGCAATATACGTTATGTGAACTTATGCTTGAATGATCGTTTATGCCATTCGAAATATTTCAAATTTTTCTCCACTCGCGCATAGATAGATCATACGAATGCTATGCAAGATGAAAAAACGCATTAGTAGTA